ATCAGGAGACCCTGTTAATCATTGATTCCCTTGGCATCCAGATGACCTCATCCTACGCCTCAGGCAAAGAAAGCACCACCTTCATTGAGATGGACCAGGTGAACGATGTTGTCATTAATGAGGCTATTTACATGGTAAGTACTTAAGTCATTACAGGCCTCTCTGGATGAGGCAGCGCATAGGGTATGCCTGGATCTAAGCTGAGTCTTAATGCGTAAAGTAACTGATGTCACAGAATTAAACTTGAGGGCTCTCTGTTCCAGTACCTGTAGTGTTTTCTTTTTGGCTGACATGTCCTTAAGCCATAAAAGTGAAACTTGTATTGAAAACATATGTCCTTTATTTTTAAAGAGATACTATAGGTTTTTATGGATAGGGAGTCAGCATTTCATCTTTATTTTCTAGCCCTGCTTCAAAGTCATCTCTGCTTGTTGTTGTTTTGTCTTTTTTAATCTAAAGAATGAGAATATACTTCTCCCTCACTTCAAATGCATTCTTTTTCAAGTGTATGAAAAAGTTTTAAGCCTTCCCTTGAGAAAGAAAACTGAATTTTACTTAGATCTCTGCTATTTGGTTTATTTTCTTACAGCAGAAGGTGATTTACTACCTCTGCATTTTATTGAAGGATCCAATGGAACCACATGGGATATCCCAAGTAGTACCTCTCTTCCAGGTGAGCATAGAATACTTGTTTCTTCTGCAAAGAAATCCTCTACCTTTCCCCTCCTCTCTGCATATCCACGGCTTCTTATGTTCAGTAGGAATGTGAACTTCTGTTGTCAAGAGTATTTGAGGATACCTGAGGGGTATTTTTACTGAGAATTAGGATTTTAGTTATTTCAGAAATTCCTTTCTGAGGCAAATAAGGCTTTCAGAAATATTATGAATTTATACAAATTTTAGAGATAAAAACATATATATAGCAACTTCTGCCTGTAGGTCATCATTCATCTGCTTTGACTCCGTTAGTCTGCCAATATGCGATTTTACATAGATGCTATTGATCTATACAGACTTTTATACACTATTTTGTGTCTTGTTTTTTTATATATATACATTTATTTATCTATCTATTTATTTATTTATGGCTGAGTTGGGTCTTTGTTGCTGTGCGCGGGCTTTCTCTAGTTGCGGTGAGCGGGGGCTACTCTTCATTGTGGTGCGTCGGCTTCTCATTGTCGTGGCTTCTCTTGTTGCGGAGCACGGGCTCTAGGCGCGCAGGCTTCAGTAGTTGTGGCACGTGGGCTCAGTAGTTGTGGCTTGCAGGCTCTAGAGCTCAGGCTCAGTAGCTGTGGCACATGGGCTTAGTTGCTCCGCGGCATGTGGGATCTTCCCGGGCCAGGGCTCAAACCCGTGTCCCTTGCGTTGGCAGGCAGATTCTCAACCACTGTGCCACCAGGGAAGCCCCCTTGCTTTTTTAATATACATATTTTCATGCATTTACAAAGGCTATTATACTTATTATTTAAAATAATTATATCATGTCAAATATCAGTTTATTTAGCTACCTCATTTACTAGCTTTTGAAATCATGTTCAGATTATTTTTTGTTTTTTTCTTACAAAAAAACACTTATACAAAGACGCAGACCTACTAGAGAATGGACTTGAGGATACGGGGAGGGGGAAGGGTAAGCTGGGACGAAGTGAGAGAGTGGCATGGACATATATACACTACCAAATGTAAAATAGAGAGCTAGAGGGAAGCAGCCGCATGGCACAGGGAGATCAGCTCAGTGCTTTGTGACCACCTAGAGGGGTGGGATAGGGAGGGTGGGAGGGAGGGAGACACAAGAGAGAAGAGATATGGGGACATATGTACATGTATAACTGATTCACTTTGTTATAAAGCAGAAACTAACACACCATTGTACAGCAATTATACTCCAATAAAGATGTTAAAAAATTTTTAAAAAACACAAAACTTATACAAACATGATTATAATCAATTATTTTATAGGTATGTAAAGTATTTACGTATGCAGTTAACTCTGCCTCACTGCCCTTCCTTTTTCAAAGGATTTAAGGAAGCTAAGCTAAAATTCTTTTGCATTATAGTTCAAAATTATTTTATTAAAGCTTATGAATAGTTTCATAGATTTTAATCATGTTTGAGATTTGGCTCCAGAGATTGGACAACCTTACCATACTTTTGTGAATTTGTACTTGTTTTCCTGTAGTCTTGGCTAACAGTGGGTTTAGCTATTTTTTAGTTTAGTATGTAGGGAAAGGAATTTAGAGTTATTAAATTTGTGTCTCTTTAAATGACAAAGAGACTTTTCATATTTCCTTGTAAGTGCTACCTATCAGTATTTTCTGTTTTAAACTATCCATCTCCTCTATTAGTCAAGTAGATACTAGATAGTGATTATGCATTGTAACAATTTGTATATTTTGGGTAGCAAACTGTTATGAAATATGCTTTCCCCATATATTTTTCCCATTCTGTGGCTTTTCTTTTCATTTGGTTGTATTATATTTCATTATACAAAATAATTTTCAATATTTACATATTAAACTGCCCTTCCTGTCTCTGGGAACTGTTTCGCAGCTTGTGATACTTCCCAAGAGGGTCTGTCCTTGTTACTCTTCTTGCTTTGTCTTAGGTGGAGGTCATGAAATTTAGATTAAAAACTGTCTTTCGAGCTCCTGCTTCCACAGTTCACAGGCTGGGATGTGGGCCTGGTTAGGGATTCCTCCTAGGAAAATGCTGTGAGGCCTGAACTTCTGCCTCTCTGAAGCCCACACCTGTACCATTTAGACTCCCTGGTCGTGGGTGAGAGATTGAGGTTGCACATGGACACAATACCACTAAGCACTTTACATTCATCTTGTTTCTGCATTTCTCCCCTTTGGAATTCAGAGTGCCAAGCCCCGGCTGGACTGCTTGATTGAAGTGTACAGAAGCTGCCAGGACATCCTGGCACACCAGAAAGCCACATCAACGAGCCCGTGAGTCCCAGCGTTTAGAAGGCCAGTATTGTTTTCCAGAGGAGATGACTCCTAAGCCACAGTGGCTGGTTTATTTTCTGTATTTTAAACCATCAAGTGGGCACAGTCCTAGGAACCAGTATGGATGCGGTGGATCTCAGAGCCGTAGAGCAGGTGCCTGGAAGCCTAACTTACTGTGTGGTGTTGAGCAAAGTATTTATGTGTATTTTAGTGTTCCCCTTGTAAGATTTCGTTTACCACCTGAGGGGGGACCTCAAAACAGTATGTCAGGAGTAATGTTGAGGAAGAGCACTTTGTGATATTCCTAAGCACGTTCAAGTTTACTTTTTGTTGAAATTTGTAGAGCAAGACAATGGGAAACTGACATCAGATCTCTTGAGAAAGATAATTTTCAGCTGCACAGTACCCCTGTATAAAAGCTAAGAGAAAAAGCAAGCCCTTCAGGGGCTGGTCAGTAGGAAGAAATGTCCTACAAAAGACTAGTCTCTGTCCACCTAGCTCCTGTGTTCTGTACAGGGTTAATTTATGGTGATTCTCTTAATAAACAGATCTCCTTCCAAAACATACACAATTGCTTGGTTCAGACAGCTGCTTTTTATTGACAAACACGATCATGGCATTTCAGTCACGGGTGTCTAGCACATTAATACTCTTGTTACTCAGCATTGTCTATGGTTTCAAAAACTTCTTTTGCCAAGAGGGGTGAGATAAAAGGCCAGACAGAAATTTGACTTTGGTTTCCAGACATGTTAAAGAAGGATAAACATACATACTGTAGAAGCCTTTGTTTATAAGGCAGTTTCTTTTATATAAAATTAATAAACTAAGGGAGGATTCCTGAAGGGTTGGGAAGAAGACAGGGCGGGGGAAATAGCTTGACCCCCAAATTCAATATGAACACAGCTCCATTCTTGCTTACTTTTTCTTTGGGATTTTTTTTTTTTTTTAACTCCTGGCCAGATGATAATTCCTTATTTGCCTTAGACACACTCAAGATATTACAAAACCAGAGCTGTAACTTCTGCCTTTTATACCAGCCCTGGAGGGGTTATTCAGGAGCCTGTGGGACATGTGACATGTGACTTGGTCGAGGTAGAAATGTCTCAGCTAAATCCCAAATGCTGGGGGAAAGGCAGGAACAGAAATGGGAGGCAGCTATGAAATTGCCAGCCTGGCAAGGTCAAGTTCGTTTAAAAAAGGTAGACACTCTGATGCGCTGCTTTTTTCATCATGCTTGTCAGTTTAATGGGTGAGAGAGGGGAAGCTTACAGCAGCTGAGGTGTTCAGATAAACTAGTTCCAGCCTTGCAGTTTTCACAGTGTGCAACACACACACACTTTGCTGGGGTTAAAGGCTTGGTTCTTGGATGCTATTGCTAAACCCATATAGTTTGTTTGGCACTTTATCGAAAAATGATAAGACTGCCTTAGAGCTATGAAATAAAACTCAGTTTCCTCAATGTTGGAAAATCAGAGTATAAATGAACTCTTTCGTCTTTTTTTTTTTTTTTTCCTGTTAAGGGAGGGTGGAGACAAGATCATCTCTGCATCCAACAGAAGGTCTCACTCGGGGATGGGGGCATATTGGCATCGTCAGGAAGACAAAAGGTGAAAGATACTTTCAACTGATGCTCTCAGGCTAGGACAGATAACGCATATGTGCGTCTGCCCTCAAACATTCCCAGCGCAAGTTCGCCAGAAGTCTTAAGGAGCAAATCCAGGCCCATGGGCCTGCAGGGGTGTCTTCTGTTTCTGACTCATCTTTGGTGGCCTCACAGAGCAGCAAAACGCAGAATGCATTTGTTTGGTTTTTCAAAGAGCAGGGGGACAAGCGACGACCACCTTCTCCTACAGTAGTAAGCACAGCCTTCACTGAGCCCTGTCCAGTTGTTAAAATGAGACAGGGAGAGGTCAGGTTGGACCTAGCCCCTGCCCTTGCCTGTACCCAGTTGGGCTGACGGTCCAGTGTGAGGGAGAACAGCTTCAGTCTCAGGCGAATAGCGCCTTGTCCTGCAGAGACAGGTGCCGCTGCCCCAGAAGGGCACCGCCAATGCCTCCTCGTTCGCACCAGGGGAAGGGGAAAGGTGAGTCTCCTCCTTTTTCTCCAGCCCTGCCAACACCTTTCCCATATGGGAAAGGAAGTCCAGTCTTAGTGAGTTCTAAGCTTTTGTTGGAGTTCAGGTGAATTGGAAATTCTAGTCCTTCCCTGTTCAGGGATGTCGGGAAAACTTCAAGTATAAACCCCTGCGTGAGGACCATACACAACATAAACATATTAGTCTCCCTGAGAGTAGCAGTGCAGGAAATTCTGCCTTACAGCACTGATGCCCTCAGTAACCAGTAACAGTGGGCCATCCCTATCTGTGTCTAGAACTGGGCAGCATCCAGAGCTCAGTATTCTTATGAAAACAAAGTGGTTTTTATACTGGGTCTGCATTTTTAAAGGTTGGCCCTGAAACATTATAAGGCACCTAGAGAGTAAAGGCTTCATGGACACTGAAATACACATTTCACAGAACAACTGGGGCAGGCTGCAGGGGGCTGTTAGACCCATCACAGTAGTATCGCACCCGAGGATACATCTCTCTAATCCCAGAGGCACCAGGTGGTGGTGGGGAAAGGGGTAGGAGGAATATTCACAGCAACGTTGGCCCCTTGGCAGCACATGGAACAGAAGCAAAGAACTGTTGTCCATCCAGTTCCCATGGCTGGCAGGCAGCAGGCGGGTTGGGGGGTGGGTCCACGGTTGTGGAGCAGTGGTTCATGTAGCTGGCCATGATGAAGGTCACCTCTGCAATCTAAGGAGAGAAAGAGAAACAAAGGAATTGAACACTGGCTTTGGCTTGAATCCTGGCTCTCTCACTCACTAGCTGTTGCTCTGGTTACATAAGCTTCCTGGGCTTCAGTTTGTCCCTTAAGTTAAAATACCCACCTGGGAGGAAATGTCCAAAGGGGATCGTTCCTGTGAGGCTCAGAGGCCTAGTGAAATAGGCGTCTGGAGGTCCTGAGGTGCCCAGTACCTCCTGAGGACAGGAGGACCAACATTCTGCCCTGGCTGTCTCCAAGACAAGGCAAGGCAGCCTCCCTGGAGGAAAGGCTCTGTATATCCTCTCCTTTGGCAGGGACAGTATTGAAAGGAGGAGGTGGTTTGGCGAACTCCAGCTTTAGGGTTAAAACAACAGGGTTTCCAGTTGCTCAGAAGGGAGCCAGGAACTATAAATCAGAACTTTGGTTCCAGAGTCTCTGCAATTGTTATTTTTTGCATCAACATTTCCTGTACTGAGTAGGAACAAGGCCCTTAAAGTGAACAGTTCCTAGGACCCCAGGGAAGGGGGAGCATGTTCAGAGTGTCCCACTTGTGACTAGTGCCGGGACAGCAGAGCCCAAGGCAAGGTGAGAACACTGGGCCTGCTGCAAGGACGACAGCAGCAAGAGGGCCCCCATTCAAGCCTGTCCAGTGCTGTGGCTGACAGAACAGAGGAAGGTAACGTGAGGAGTGCAGAGTAGCTGGACCAGAGTGAGTTCCCTCTCCCGCCAGCCCCCCCACCTGCCAGCTCAGCAGTGACCGTAGAGACGCCACCTGAACCCTCTGGGGTACTGATGATAGTTTCATTTGGGGCAGGGCCCTTCTAGAGTACTGTCATAACCCCAGTTTCCTTTCTAAGCTCCGAGCCCATCTCATCAGACCACAGCAGGGTAAAATGTTTTAGCAGCTTTCAGACCCACCTTGGGAGCAGCCATCCGGAAGATCAGCTTCTCAATGTGGCCTTTTCCAGAGCTCTGGTCTGAAGTGGATCTAATCACAAGCATGAAGTCATCCCGGCAGCCACCAAAGGTCATCACTGAAGAGTAGGGATAAGTGACGTGCACTTGCTGTGGGGAAAGATCCAGTTAGTTCTGGAAAAACTTTCCACCTGCCTCCTGAGCTAGGAGCCAGCATGCCCAGTCTCTTCCAGACCAGGAAGGGAGAAGTCCAAAGTGGTCACACTTTGGAGATCTACATTTTGAATGTCTACAAGCTGTGTCTAGACTAGAGGACAGCAGTACTTGGGCAGGGGGTGGGGGAAGGAAAACCGTGGTCACTTAGCTCAGCCCTTTGAGTCCAGAGAGAAGAAGAAAAGATACTGTCAGGAGAAGGAGGGGTCAGGAAGCCAGCCCTCATCCTCCCGTACCATGGTGTTGTGGTCCAGGATGCTGACACCATCCTCATTCACCGCAATCCACACCAGAGTGTTCTCCTTGGAAGACGGCTGTGCAGGCTGGGGGAACAGGAAAATCCCATCAGACATCCACAGCTAGGGATTCTGAACCACTAGAGCTTTCTGAGGAAGAAGGCACATCTAGGGATCTGCTAGGCAGTGATTTCCAACTTTTTTCTTTTGGAAAACATAGAAGATGGTATTTGTATAGCATGCGGGAGTAAACAGGCTGCTCGTGGCAGGAGGCACCTGGCTTGGGGCTCTGGCCACCTACTAACAACCCCGAGTATCACTTTCTTGTAGTACCTATAGCCCATCCTGCCATGGTACAGAACACAGTACACTTTGTTCCTGTTCCAGAACAGAGGCCAGCCCTGGCTGTTCTGTTACAGGCATGGAGAACAGGCTGTTTTTTCCTGGCTCTCAGAAACTGACAGCATTCCACCCACAGGCCCTCCTAAGTGCAAGCTGCATCTTGCTTCAACCATTTCCTAGGGACTATAAAATAATTAGGAAGACAGTAATGCAAGGGCTTTAGGCCCTGCCAGGGAGAAAACTGACTATTTGGTGGATAAGTCCTAGAATGACTAATTTTCACTGCCAGGGCTGCAGTAGGGCAATCTAGATTTCCTGTCTCTCCTACCCTGGGGAGGCTGGGGAGAGAGATGGACATGTCCCTTTTTTCAGGAGCTTCTCCCAACCTTCCAGACTAAGTGGGTCCCCATGTTATATGCCTTTATAACACCCCTGTACTTTTCCTTCATGGCACTTGTGACAGCTTCTAAAAAAATTATATGTGTTTTATATATATATATATTTAGAAAGAGAGAGTGTATGTGTGAAAATTTGATTAGTGTGTACGTCCCCCACTAGATGGGAAGCTCCATGAAGGCGAGGACGTGTCTGATTTGCTCACCTCTTGTCACCTCAGACAACTAGCACAATGCCTCAGATATAGTAGGAGCTCAACAATTCTTTGTTGAATGAATGAGTGAATGTCTGTTGTCTAATCTGTATCCTCAGTGAACAGGACCATGATCCAGCTTCGAGGGTAGGACACTGTGATTACGTACAAAGTTTCGTGCACACCAGATAGCCAGTGAAGAAAAGTTCCATCTGAAATTACTTTTAGCCACCTGGCCTTCCAGCAGGAGAAATTAACTGGTGCCTGAGTAGTCAGATCCCTCTGTGGCTGCACCAGGTCAGCAGAGATGTATTTGTTTAGGTTACACGTTGTTCTTTCAAACTTTTTTTAAAATAAAAACATTCTCAAGAGGAACATCATATCAAGTCTGAACTCTGTTGTGGATTAGTTGACCCTATCTTTTTTTTCAAAGGTAGGATTGGGAAAGAAGTCAATAAAGGAAAGTTAAGGATCGCCCAGAAATAACCCTGGCCCGGAAGCAATGAGTCACAACTGCTCTGGACCAGGGAAAGCTGGAGTAGGCAAGAAATGGGTGGAAAGATAGTGACCCCTAGTGGTTGCGGGTGGGCGCTGCAGACTGAACTGGCTCAAAACATGACCGAATCCAGGAGAAACTTAGGGAGTTCCTGAGGGTGTGGTAACCACTCCTTTGGCTGGAAACCACCCACACTTACCTGAGCAGCAAAGAGCTTAGCACCAAAGAGGGGCCATTTCCGGGCCACTGTCAGGTAGATGCGGATGCACTCAGGAGAGGAGCAGCCTTGCAGTGCTGCCCACTTTGTGGTCAGCTGATCTGCCAGGTGCCTGGTTTAGACGGATGGAGAGAGATGGTGCCATGTTTCTGTTGCAGCTCTGAGGTTTTTCCCAACTCTGCAGCCCATGCCTCCCTACGGTGACTCCCTGCAAGACCTTGCAGCCTACCTCAGCTGTTCCAGGGGGGCCCCGTGTCTGTAGCGCCTTGGGTAGAACCTGTCTAGGACCTGCTGGAGGTGATGCAGAGCCTTGGCAGGGGGTGTGCCCCCAGGTCCTGGCAGGATGGGCTTCTCCAAGTCCCCATACTCTACCTGTGGTAGAAGCACATGGAGGGACAAATCAGGAATTTGGACGTGAATGGGGTTGGGGGCCTGCTGAGAGGTGAAATAAACCATTATTTCATCCCTTTATTGGTGAGGTGTGAATGGATGTGAAAAAACACTTGTGTACAGACAGACCCTTTATCTCAAGTTTCACAGACACTAGAGAAACAACCTTAGGGTCCTAGAATATTAGAGATTGTCTAGATCACCTTTCCTTTTGCAGCTGAGGTTAAGTGCCTTATCCAAAGACACAGTTAATTAGTGGCAGACAAGGGAAAACACTATAGAAATTCTGGCTCCTAATCCAAAAATATGGGATACAGGATTGAAGATGCTACAGATCCTTCAGTAGAGCTGACTGTTCCAAATGTGGCCATTAGAGTCAGATGCTTGGCTCAAATCCCAGCTCTGCCATTTACCAGCTCTGAAACCATGATGAAGTTAAACTCTGTGAGCTTCAGTTTACTCATCTATAAAGCGGGGGTGAGAACTAAATAGGGTACTACATATAAAATGTTTCGCACAGGGCCCTCTACAGCATACTCAATACGTGTTTACTGTATTAAAGGTCCACTGTTATTATTTCCCCATCCTCTCCAGCATGTAGATCCAGACTCTTTCTTACGGGAACCATGAAGGATCCCAGATTCCTTTGGCAAGACAGCCTCCTAAAGGTAATAGAAGAGTCAAAGTCTGAATGTGTGTTCCTTTTCCTACTTCTCATTACAATGTTTGACAGCTGTAATACACACTTAACCACATACATTATATGACATACATTATCTAGGAATTACACTTAGTACAACCCTGTCGGGGCAGGTAGGGAGGTATTTTTGTTTTCGGGATATGAAAAAGGGAACTACAGCACAGACAAGTGAAGTGACTTGGCCAAGATCTCATAGCGGGAAGGTGGCTAGGATTCAAACCCAGGCCCCTGGTTTCCACGCCCAGAGTTCTGCATGTAGCCTGGATCTGCAGCGAGGCACTCTGCTGGGTAGGAGTCAGCAAGGCCGCCCTCTCTGGCACCTCAGGACCCGCAGAATCTCCTGTTTCAGCCTGTGTGGTGCACTCCACCTATGAGTCCAAGACGTCTCCTGACCCTCCTGACTCCTGGACAGAACCTTACCTGGGCCATCAGTGCCGCCATCTCCAGAGCCAGCTCCTTGTTGACAGGAAACCTCCCTGCCACTATCTCTCCGCTAGTTTGGGAGGCAAGCAGCAGGCGCTCTCGCTCTGTCTCCCCTTTGACTTGACTCCGAAAGTACAGCCTACAGGGGAGAGAGTGAGAAGCCAGGGCTCAGCTGGGATCCCAAACGGATGAAGCTGTCTCTGCATCTGTTTATCTTGATTTACAAAGAAAAAAAGAAACTACTCTTTTTATACCATCTGTGAGCCTATTTTCCACTGCCTCCAGAAAAACTTAACCAAGCATGACACAGAGCAGATAGAGGGCCATCAGGTCCCATAGCAACAGTAGCATGTGGTCGGTTCTGAATTCACCGTTAAGACTTACTGGATTTGGTGAGGGGAATCTGGTACCTGGAATCATAGCTTATTAGGAAACTAAATGAGTTAAGATTCCAAGAGACTAATGGAAATCATCTGCCTGGAGACATACTGGGATGGAATTTTCTTAGTCAAATTGGTATAAGTCAGGATTTCTCCTTCTGTATTTCCTGGAACTGGTATATAGGAGCAATTTATTCTTTTTTTTTTTTTTTTTTGGTACGCGGGCCTCTCACTCCTGTGGCCTCTCCCGTTGCGGAGCACAGGCTCCGGACGCGCAGGCTCAGCGGCCATGGCTCACGGGCCCAGCCGCTCCGCGGCATGTGGGATCCTCCCGGACCGGGGCACAAACCCGTGTCCCCTGCATCGGCAGGCATACTCTCAACCACTGCGCCACCAGGGAAGCTCCCAGGAGCAATTTATTCTCTAGTCTTAAATATCTAGTGCTCAGACAAAATCTTCCTCTCCTGATGTAACACATGCAGCCACCTGAGGAAGTTGGTCTGTTTGGGGGGCAGGGGTGTGTGTGTGTGTGTGTGTGCATGCATGTGTGAGTGTGCAGACACAGTACAGGGACGGAGAGCCTGAGCTGTCCAGGGTCTCACAGAGGCCAGCAGAGCCAGCCTGGGCCTCCAGCTACTGACCAGCAGGCAGTGTTATATCTCTGGCCCTGCCTGTGCAGGACAGGCCTCCAGCTGGGGGAGTGATGAGCTGCACCCCAGCAGCAGCCCTCATGCTTGGTCCCCCTTGGCGGTGCCCAGGACCTGTTCTTGTACATCAGCTTCACGACACGTGTGCCACCCTCAGACTTTCCGGAGTGCAGCTCCTTCAGGGCTTGTTCCCACTTGGAGATGGCATCGCAGATCTGCATGAGGCAAAAGAGGAAAGTCAGAAAAGCCCCTGATGAAGGGAACAAGGCCCAGTCAGGGCTGGACTCGGGCAGAGCCGCGGGGCAGAGTTGAGGGACTGTCCATCAGGAGGCTGACCCGCGGGGCCTCATGCTCCCAGGACCCAGGGTGCCTGCGGCTTTCTCACAGACAGAGGTGTAACTCTGAGCATGGCGTGGGCAGCAAACCATGGAATGCTGCCGCCATTGCCTGGACATCTGAGGGGGCCCCCCAGAGGCTAGGCAGGCCCCAGTTCAAAACCATGGCCCCTCATCACCGGCTCCACTTCCCTCCCACCAACCGCCATTCTCTTCAACAAATATAACCGGAGGCCTACTGTGTAACAGAGCCTTACAGATGCCTGGGCATTCACAGATGCCCGGGCATAGTTTTTCCAGGCAATGGTAAAAGACTACAGGAGTCTTTGTCCTGTCACCATAAAGAAAGCAGAGACTGCAGCCAAAACCCTCATCCTCATCAAGTGCTCCAGCACATCCCACAAACACCCAGCATGCCCCGCGGCTCTAACCCCAGACCCTAATGCAACATAGGGTTCGAATCCCACTCAAGGGCCTTTACGCACAGAAGTACCACAAGGATCTACCTCTTTAAAGTTGGTGGGACCTGTAAGCAGAGCAAGGGCCCTGGCAGACTGGGTAAGAGTGAGCTGCCAGCGTACAACGCATCTGCTGGGTCCAGGCGTACAGTTGTCCGTCTACGCATGTGTGTACGAAACTGGCAGCGGGCTCCGCCCAGGTGGGGCTGCTGCTGAGAAGTGCCTCCCTGTCCTTCCTACCCTGAGCTGGGAAGCGGCTTTTCTTCTGGAAGCTGAACAGCTTCTCAAGGGAGGGAGGGAGGGAGGGAGGGATGTGGAGATCTTCTCTCCAGAGACAAGGGCACAAATGACTTTTCTCTGCCTTTATGGGCACATTTTAAGATGGCACAGAAATGCTGGCCTCGGGCTCAGCCCCAAACCGGCTGGGAACACAAAATCCTGAAGACCAAGGTGGCTCAGTTGGCTTACGGGGGACCATCACCTTGACGCTCCCCTGCAGGCAATGTTCCAGGTCCCTGCCAGAAGGGTCGTCCGTGAAGAGGGCAAAGCCAGAATGGGAGGACTTCCTCATGCCCGTCTCCTGGTTCAGCCGCTGGAGGAACTCGTCCACTGTGGAGGAGCCGTCAAAACCCACCACCTGCCGGGAGAGGGGACCTCCTGAGAGGGGCCCACGGGGGCTAGTGGAGGGGTCAGAGGCCGGGAGGTGGAAAGGCATGGCTGAAAGGAGCGAGGGCGACAACAGAGGCCAAAGAAAGCTGGTTTCCACATGCAGAGGGCGAGTGCTTAAGGGAGGAGCCCGCCCACCATAAACTGAAGTCCCACGTAAGCTCCGTTCCTCCTTTGCTGTCACTCTTTGGGAGGCCCTTCCCCTGCCACTTTCTTGGTCAGTGTGTCAGCTTCCCTGTTCACGTAGTGGGTTCAAAAGGTCCTCTTCCCAGGCCCCAAAGAGTGAAGTACTTTTGTGATTCAAGCTCTGTACTCCCTCCACAGTGGCACGAATGGCCCCACTCGCCCCTGCACCCCAGGCCCATCCTTTGGCTGGTCTGCCTGTTAAGATCTGCTGGGCCTAAGGAGGCTTAGCACCCACTGGCCCCAAGGTGTTCTCCTCTGGGATGGCAGTATGAGAAGACTCAGCACAGGGAGCGCGGCAGCCTTGTCACCTGGTAGGTCGCTCGTCACCTGGTAAGTCCCGTTGGCGAAGTGCACGGGGATGCTGAAGGGCGAGGAGTGGTGGAAGGGGTTCCGCAGCAGGATAGACACCACCTCCATGCGCGAGGGCCTGGCCTCCCGCTCCCCAGTCTGCAGCGTCCGCTCCACTGCCCGCTGGCAGTACGTGGCGTACTGGCCCGTCTCATTTCTAAAAAGACAGGCGAAGAAAGAAAGGAAAACCGGGAATCCACTCATCCCTACCACTTGACACCCTGGTTCCCTACGTACATGTAACCTATAGGACCAAACCTGCAGCTGGAAGGCTGTGACACGAGCCCCAAAGACTGGTCTGGGGTGTTAATTGGTCGTTCGGGGCCTATCTACTGCTGGTTGCTGGCACGGATATTTTCTGCAGAAGCCAGAAAACATGGCAACAGAGAATGCAAATCTGGGGATGATCTGGGGGCGCGGTAGCTCCACATGAGGGCCCCCACTAAATACCCACACACACGTGGATTGGTGTGTAGAGGGTGCCCAGATCTCCATGTGCCCATCTGCGTACATGGTGATGGGCAAAGTCTACATGGCCACTGTGCAAACCCCAGAGGGCGGGGCGATCTCATCCATCCTAGTCTCCCCTGCGTCCCTCAGATCATGCCAGTCGGTAGTGCCAGAGCGGCAGAGGAAACGACGTGCACTCACCGGGGATCTGCGTGGCGCTGGAGCTGCTGTTTGACGTACCAGAGGAAGTGGTGCTGAGGCAGGAAAAGTGGGGCACACAGAGCCAGGAGCTGCCAGCACTGCCGGGGGAAACAAGAAATGTGGGCTGAGCGCTGGGTCCGCCGTGCCACCACCATCGCAGTCCTGAGCTACAGAGCCTTCACCACCCTCTCCGAACCGCAGCCCCCAGCCTTCTGCGGGCACCAGGATGGCCAGCCTGGTCGGGCTTTGTGCAGAGCCGCAATCACACAACCTGACTGTGTGCAGACGTCCAGAAGGGGCACAGAGAGGGCAGCAGGACCCGGGCAGCCTTGAGTACGGAAGCCACCTGCTGGCTGCCAGGCTCGGAGGATACCTGCCCGGTCACCTCCTTCCACCTTTCCCACGTCCTGGGCAGCCCTGGCCGACGGCTCCCGTCGGCCGTTCCGCCCCAGGGACGCCCACCTGCATGAGGGAGCACTTCTGCGGCGGGCGGCAGCTGGTCTGCTTCATGAGTTGGCAGTACAGCTCGCTCTGCAGCTCGGGGTGAACGAGGCAGACCTGCAGCGCGGTCTGCGCCAGGGACACGTGGTAGTCCACCGAGGCCGCTTCCACGGGCACGTTGATGAAGAGTTGGCATGACTGCAGGGAAATGACAGTGGGCACAGGTAGACTGACAGCCCCCTGACTATCGTCCTCTGTGACAGGGGACAGACTGGGCCGTCCCCCCGCCCAGGGCTCGAGGAAGGCTCTGGTTCACGGCAGACAGCCCTTTCTAGGAGGGAGCATCGTGACTGCTCGAGAACGTCTATGCTTACCGAGAAGGCTACTTTGGGATAGGATCTTTCCTTTACATGTTTCCATTACATAAGCAAGACGTATTCATTTTTTTAAAAGACAGAATATTCAGCAGGGAACAAAGAATATTCTAAAATAGGCCAGAATCTCTCAGGTCCAGAAGCAACGTAAACCTGCCCTCTCCCGCTGTTCACTACAGGAGGGCAGCTCTTCGTTTCGCTAGTGCTCCCCAAGGGCCCATGAATGAAGTCCCAGAGCTTCCAGCCTCCCTGCCCTAAAGGACATGATGGGAGCCCTGAGGGACTTTCTTTCCCTTCCTCTTCAGATCCCTCCGGGAGCTCCCCCCCTAAACTGCACAGGTCTTCTCCACCCCGGCATCACCGTGGTGGGAAGAACTGCTCTGGGCAGAGCCTGGGCACAGGGCAAGGGCGCCGCCACCAGTCCACGGGCCTGGGCTCAGCTCCCACTTTACCTTGAAGAGCTTGACGGCCTCCGTCTGCAGGGCCTCGGAGGGCAGGGTGGTGAGGGAGGTGTACAGCCCGTCTTTGCTGTAGCACAGCATGGGGTGCCTCCAGAGGGGGGAATCTGCCCGGAGCACAGCACCAGAGAGCAGCAGCCGTTACCGCTGAGGAGGGAACTCGCCTCCCCCGCACCCCGACCCTGATCTCTGGGGAAGACGGTGCTTTCACAGTCGGGACACGTGGGCTGTGCTGGATTTATATCCAGAGTGTGGGCTGTGCACTGCATTTATTCAGCACACTCACGAGCATGGCTTACAGGAAGGCGGCTACTGCTTTGCTCGTGGGGCTGCAATAGGGGTGAACGTCCAATGCAAGGCATGGACATCGGAGTGCAAGCGTGCGTGTGCAGGGGAGGGCCTCTCCCTGCAGCGCTAGGTCTGGATAGAGGAGCGTGTATCAGCCCGGAACAAACACGCCTCGGAGCAGCAGTAAAGCAGTGTGTGTTCTGGGTGCCCTTGGGTCCTCAGGGTCCTGAGAATCAGTAGCAAAATAAAGACCCCAAGAGGCCCCAGGCTTAGTTAGCCTGATCCTAACTTAGGCTTCATTCATTAACAAACTCTAACTATAGATTAACCAGCCACCTTCTTTCCTCAACCCTCTGCCCAGCCAGCAAAGTTGCAGTGAACAAAGTAAAACATTGACCAAGTGGCCGGAAAGTCTGCTCCCCAGACAACTGCCCCAGATACTGAGTGGTCTCCTCAGTAGCCTCACCAGAAACAGGGGTCCCGGAGCTTGGGACGGGAATGCCCTTCTGTGGCTCAGAAGGTCTCCAAACAGCTTCAGGGTACAGTAGTGCTTTCTTTGGGCTCCTGACCCACAGTTACCCAGCCACCACCCTCCAACCCAGCAGTGATGGCCACCCTCGCCTTACCTGGGTCTCCCTCACCATCCATCAGCTTTCCAATGAGCTGCTCATAGGCAGTGCCCACCTTGGCACTGCTGCCACCTGCAGCCACTGTGAGGTGGTAAAGCCATGTATCCTGGAAAAGGATGGAAAGCCACCTGATGGGGCTGGGCTGGGAAGAATGGAGGCAAGAGCTCCAAGGGAGCCTCCCTGAAGGGGCCAAGCCCAGGGTAAGGGTCAGCCTGTCTGGTTGGCACAAGTCAAGGCCACCGGTCCCTAAGGGGAAAGACTTGGGATCGGCTGAATGTGAACCCAAGTTCCTAAGCTTGTGGTTCCCTCCATCTCATGGCCCCAGTGAAGAGATGTTGGTCACTGGGAATGGATTCAATACAAGGAATATTCAGGAAATACTAGTTGCCAAAATGTCCAGGAGGGAAATAGATTCGAATCTGGGGAAGCTCAGAAGAGAGAAGGAAGGTGAGAATCAAAGGTGCAAGCTTTGCCATGGAGGCCCAGCCCCCTCCCTTACCTTTTCGTGCTTGGTGCCAATGAGGAGGTAGGTGGGGCTGTGCTCTGGGGGGTGGATCACAAGGGTGCAGTGGGAGGAAAGCAACCGCCGGGTCCCTCCAGCCTCATAGTCCTCATCTGAGTCACAGGATCGATCTACTTCCTCTATGCGTGCGTCCTGCACAGGCAGACGGCCCAGGGGGCGCTGTGGACACGAGCCTTCCGTGAATGGGAGGGCCAGCGGGGAACAGAGGAGTCTCCTCTCTCTGAACCCTCAGGCCTTGTAGGGCTGGGAATCAAGGACGAGGGGGAGACTACAGCTCCCTGGCTGAGGCGGGCTTGGAGAAGCACAGACAGACCACACAGGCAGGATCTACAGACCAGGCACACTGGTCACACACTCTAGAGGGATCTGGCCAGCCAGCTCTGTACTTGTTGTGGGGTTGGGTGGGGTAGAGGGTAAAGCTGGGCCTTCCATAAGGACACAGAGCCACAGGAATGTGGTTTGGGGGAAGCTTTCGGGAGGCCAGGAAGTACCTTGTCCTCGTGGCTTCGATAGTAGTAGAAGGTTCTCCCAACAAGAGCACACCAGACCAGTTTGGAATGGCCATGCTTGACCTGTAGGCCAGAAATGAACCAGCATTATTAGAACCAGAAGACCCCAGAAGAAGATCCGGGACTGGCAAAGAGAAGCCAAAGGGAGACAGATCTCAAAACCCCTGGTCCAACTCAGATCCTTTGGTCAATCCCAGGTCAAACTCAGATGCCACCCAGATTCTCTACTAACGGAACCAGCCCTTTCACAGCGAGCGTCCATGGTACCACGCGACACCCCATCCTCGTATGACCTGCCATTAAAAGATCGACCAGGCCAACCAGATATCCTGTCCCAGGAATATGATCACGAGAAGAACTTGCTAATCTGCAGAGGCTAGAGTTGGAAGGGAAGGGCCACGGTGGGCTGAAGCCCTTGGGCAAGTGTAATCGTGAAGTGTAAAAAACACTGCACGTGGGCAGAGGAGATGGCTGTGAACACATACTGAACGGGGAAGCAGCGGCACAGGCAGAGCCCCAAGCACTGAACTTGCGCACACCATCATTCCTGACGGCATCCTGGCCTAGTTAACGCGCTTCCTTGTTAACTTCCCCTTTCTTGGGATTAACAAGTGCTTCTCAGCTCCCTGCAACCAGAAGAGCCCTAATTAAAACGTCTTTAGGGCAGCCTGAGATATAAGTCTTTGGCCACACCTGTCTCGCCGAGGTCACAGCTTCCCACTATTCACACTGAGCTGTGGTGGGTACAGGCAGGGGTGAGGGCAACTCCTAATGACCTCAAAATGGGTCCGATACATTCCTTTTCCCCCTGTCTCGAGAATAGCTGCTGTTGTAACAACACCGACCCCTATTTTTCCAGACACTCATTCACCGTCACCTTGTGTGGTTCAGCCCACAGGTAGTCAGTGTGAGGGGCCTCCTGGAGAAAGGAGCTGTGTGTCAGGAGGTGACCCACCAGCCCAGCACTCACTCCTGGCTCCCCTGACTCTCATGAGGAGCCCACCACGCTCCTCCCCCACCAACCCCACCCGTACCTTAGTCAGCCAGCCCTTCACAGCGGGCTTGGCGCCGCCCTGAGTCAGGGCCGGAGGCCCAATGGCCTGGACCTTCAGCAGGCTCTGTAGGACACGGATCCACTCCTCCAGCAGGCTGGGCGAGTCCGCTGTCAAGTAATAGGTCTTCTTCTCAGAGATGAGCTGTGGAGAAGTGAGGGGTTGGGGATGGGGAGACAGGACGATGGAAGAACAGGGGCCTGGCTCTGCGGTGGCGCAGATCTCCGAGCCACCGGCTCTTCCTTCCTCCTGCCCTGGTACTCCCTCCCTCCCTTCTCCTCCTCGTCATCTTTGCCTCCGTGTCTCTCCTACCTTCACTCCATCTCTCACATTCTGCCTCCTCTTCCTTCCTCAAACCCACAAATGAGGATCAATGCAAACGTCGAGGTAATGGCTTTCACACATGCTCATTCTGCCCCATCTTTGTTTCCATTCGAGCCATATCCAAACCCAGCACCTCTTCTATCTAAAGCACTAGCCGCTAGGAGCACGCTCACCTGGAATGTCTGTGCACCCTCCCCTCGAACAATTTGGCAACGGGAGTTCAGTTCCACTTGACCTTGAGGTTTCCGGATGACGTCACTCTGTAAAGAAAGGGATGGAGAGGAAAGAGGTTGGAGCCTTCCCAGAGCACATCATTTCCCCTCAGACCTTACTCTAGGTCACAATGGGGAAAGTGACTCCTAAGCTTTCCTGGGCTGTGGTATGATGGATAACTTGTTCTGGATCCTGGTTCTAACTAAATGGAGCAATGATTAGAGACATGGGTCCTCCTGATCCAGGCCTCAAAAAGTATAGATTGAGCCTTTAAAAACTGGATGAGAAACCACCAGGTTATTCCTGAGCTACAAAGCCCTTAAATTCTTTCTACTACATATTTTATAGTGTTGCAAACAGGTGGCCTATATATATCACCATTACCTTCTCCTGTGCCACTGCAGACATAACTAATCAATCAGAGCATGCCTACTCATTGAGTGATACGGGACCTGAATCCTTCACATGATGCTCAAGGTAGCCACTAACAATCAACTGGAGTAGCACAAGAGTCAGGCCTTTTTGCCTTCTTTAAAACGTTAACATTGGTTCTCTAGGGAGGGCCTGTCAAACTAGGTCCCAACATCCTAAGGCTCCCTAATTCCAAACAGTGTAGGAAGGAGATGGAGGAGGTGACAAGCTCGCCTATTAGAACAGTCCTGATGATGTGAGGACAGCCTAGCAATGGTTCATTTACAGGGCTCGGCTTCTGAAGGAAGAAGGAATCACCAAGCCAATTCATCTAGAAGTGCCCTTGACTGCTCAGTGCCTGATTTCACTCTGAGAACCAGTGACCAGCCTCATGGTCCCGTGTGGGGCTCAAAGCCTCAGGTGCCTGCCCAGGCTGCCTCTCCCTGCCTGCCAGACCTTCACCTCTGCCCTGCTTCCAGCCCCTCTCATGCGGTTCTAGGGCTGGGGTGGGGTCCTTTTGCCTACTGTCCTGGGGAAGGAGGGTCTCACCGGAGACTTGTAGTACATGATCTGTCCCTGTCTCAGGACAAACCAGCGCCTCTTCCACGTCTTCACCCGGCTCCCCATTTTCAGCAGGTAGCCTGACTTCTCCAGTGACTCCTGCAAGAGTGGAAGAGTGTAGGGGGATGAGGGATGGACAGAAGAGGGAAATCACTGGGGTTCCTGGACATCACACAGGCCAAAATGGCCCAGCTGAGTCACTGCTTTGTCATCAATTAAAAAAAATTACTGAGTATCTACTATGTGTGTTTTCAGGGCACTGCCCTGCTAAGGGTGCAGAGAGGACTTATAAAGCGTGGGTGGTCCTGTTGGCAGGGGGAGAGAACACCTGACCCTGAGGAGATGGTAGATCAGGGGCTGCACAAGCGAGAGGCTGGCCAGGGAAGGCTTCTGGCAAGAGCCAGACCTGAACTGACCTTGGAAGGAAATCAGCCTTTCCCTTGAAGACGAGCCCAGAGGAGGAAGAAGGCCATTCCAGGCAGCAGGAAAGGGCAAGAGAGGTTTGGGGAACATCAGGCAAACTGGGATGGAGGGTTCGTGGAGGCGGAGATGAAGACGGGGCAGCACAGTGCTATGGAGCGAGGGCTGGGGAACGAGCCGTCTGCATTTACCACTGGCTCTGGCGCATAACAGCATGCCTCTGAGCCTCAGGCTTCCCATCCATGAGATGGGGTAATAAGCCTCATTTGTGAGGACAAATGAGACAGTGCATACAAAGCCATGAGCACGGTGCCCGGCACACACAGAACTCAATAAACGTATTGTTAGCTCTCGGCATCCCAGGGTCAGTGTGGAGCTAAAACGAGGTAACGTGTGTAAACTCCTCCTGGGCCCCGTGGGCCATAGTGATGGGGTCTGTGTGTGCCCGGCCCCCAACCGCACACCCCCAGCCCACTCCCCTTGGCCTCACATCATCAGTGGCAGCCCCCAGACTCCCGCCCTCCCTTCGCCAATCCCAGGGACCCTCATGCAGCTGCTGCCTGGGTCTTGTGCTAGAGGTCCGCTCCCACCCGGCCCTGCCTTGGCCCCATCGGGGCGGAGGCCAAGCTCCCAGCTCACCCCCCCTGGGCCCAGCCCGTCGGTGGAGTAGGATGAGGTGCGCTGGAGTTTGTGCTCAGGCTCTGAGTAGTCGCTGTCCAGGGAGCAGGCGTCCGGGGGGATGGCATAGTCGCCCTCAGAGCTCAGCGAGGACATGGAGACGCCTGTCCAAAGGGAGGAGGAATCAAGGCCCAGGTCCACAGCCTCCTGGCTCACACAGCCTGGGAGCTGCAGGGTCTTCCACACCCACGTGGGACTGCCCATGGGAGGAGATGAAGGGTCCCTCATTGTTCTGCACCCCTCCCACCACCCTTCTCCATACCTCTCTTGATGGCCCGGGGGCTGCCCAGTCCACTGGTCTTCCTGGACTCAGAGCAGGGCACTGAAGTTCGGAAGCTCGCCTGGGAGCTGCAGTCATCGTCGGACCCAGAGGACTCGTCCACAAAGGGCACTGTGCTGATCTGCATGGCTTTCTGCAAGACAGGCCCCTCCCCACTGCAGCTAAGGCTGCAAGACAAGCCCCATCCCATCTGCACTTTCACTCCCGCTCCAAGTGCCTGGGGCGTGGCCATCACAGCCTGTCTAGAGCACGGGAAGCCATCACCCAGCTGGGGCACCCAAAAGACAACTGTCCCTTCCCGACTTGACGACCTTACCCCTGTGTCCTCACCTCCATGCTTCTCTCTCCCTCACACACCATCATCCTCTGTGGTCCCCAGTGAAGCTGCCCCACCAGGGCTGAACACCTTGCTCCCTGCCACTAGGGGGCCAGAAAACCATGCCACGGGGCCCAGTGTGAGACAGGAGCTTTAAAAGTGGGTGGGGATGACAAATGGAGAGATCATGGCAAAAATTTAAAAAGACCGATCACTTCAATATTGGGCAAACTGTGTGGAAAAGGGGACGCTATTTTACATAAAAGATTTACATAAAATCTTTTTAGAAGGTAATTTGGCACTACCTGTCAAAATTTAAAACATGCATATTATCTGCCCCTCAATTCCACCTCTAGAACTCTGTCCTACAGAAATATGCATATATAAGTGCACAGAGATGTATTTGCATGGTGATGTTCATTGCAACACTGATTTTACAGAAAAACAGAGACATGACCTACATTGTGAATCAGGGGAGGACAAGTTAAGGTAGTTATGGGGCATCTATACCAAGGGGTACTGGGAAGTCCTAAAAGGGGAGGCAGAGCTGTGCTGTGCATGGAGGTGGGGCAGGAAGACCTGACACATGGCTGGGTGGACAAGCAAGGGGTAGACTGACATGTATGACATCATCCTCTTTGCGTGTGCGTGTGTGTAAGAGAGAGTAAATTTGTAAATGCATTTGTAAATGCATCAGAGGGCATTACAGAATAAACACCAAACCATTAGTGAGAGCTGCCTCTGGGGTTAGGAATTAGGGAAAAGCAATGTAAGAGGAAATTTCACTTTTGGCTTTTTATCCTTCTACAAAAAGTTTTACAAAATATTACTGTTACGATCTCAAAAAACATGTTGGGAATCTTTTTTTTTCCAGTTAATGTTGTAAGAACTCGCAGGCAATCTCAGATTGGTGGGGAATTTCAGTCTTTCCCTAAAGTTTTCCAAAAAATCTGGCTAGAACAGGACAGGAAACTGACAAATCTTTTCAAGGTGCCCATCTGAGTTACCATCGGTCCCTCATCTCTTGGGGCATAATTAATGCGACTTATGAGTTCTTGTGAAAGATTATATGAAAGAAATCAGTTAAGTGCCATTTATCAACTGAACAGACCTAAGAAGAATGCAGTTTGGTCTCGTTCCTAATTGGCTAAATACAAGTTGGTGTCATAAGTCCAGGACACAGTGAATTATGGGCAAAGCTGTTTTCCTTAAGCACCAATAAATTCAGAATAAAAGGTTTCAGTAGGAAAAAAAAAAAAAAGCAGACCAAAAAGTATATGAAAACATCATGTTGCAGCTATATCTGATTTTTGTTAAAAAATATGTAGAGATGTTATGGGAATACATATGGGAATATATGACATAATACATGAAAAGTTCTGGAAGGAGCCCCACTGGCCTCCGGGATAGACATGTGACAAGATGAGGAGGAGACGCAGAGCAGGCATTGGTTTAACCTTTAACTTTTTACTTTGCCCATAATCATACTGATTCACATTTTTGTAAATGTAGAATTTTTCTAATGAAAACCTAATAAAGATATTGAATCACTGTGTTGTGCACCAGGAACTAACACAGTGTTGTAGGTCAATTATACTTCAAAAACAAAGAAACAGACTCAGAGAAAAAGAGATCAGATCTGTGGTTACTGAGGTGGGGGAGGAGGGGGAATTGGATAAAGGTGGTCGAAAGGTACAAGCTTCTAGTTATAAGATCAATAAGTCCTAGGTATGTGATGCAGAATATGATAAATCTAACTAACGCTGCTGCATGTTAATACACGAAAGTTGTTACGAGTAAATCCTAAGAGTTCTCATCCCAAGGAAAAGGTTTTTTTCTATTTCTTGAATTTTCTATCTATATGAGATGCTGGATGTTCACTAAACTTATTGTGGTAATCGTTTCATGATGTATGTAAGTCAAATCATTATACTGCACACCTTAAACTTATGCAGTGCTGTATGTGAATTATATCTCAATAAAATGGGAAGAAAAAATAGTTTTTTAAAAAACCTAATAAAGATGAACAAAAGAAATAGATATATGGGGGGCTGAGCACCCTGCCCAGAGTTACGTGTGCGCAGACGCCTGCCCCTGGAGACCCACGCCAGCCACTGCCTGCCGACACGGTGGTGGGGCAGTGGGTGCTGGGCGGGGACACCCCGTCCTCGGACAGCAGCTTCTTACCCCCTTCAAGGCTGTGTAGACCGGCACGGTGATGTTCTTGCAGACCAGGCCAGAGAAAGGCCCAGGGGATGCAAGGGCTGGAGGGCTTGAGGCTGGAGGGGCGGGAAAGAGGGAGGAGACTCACTCAGGTGGCAAAACCCAGGAAGCAGAGACCTGAGCAGAGCGAGGAGAGAGATCCGTGCAGACAGCATTCCCTGAAACAGCACTCCGGAGACAGACCGGGGACAGATCTCAGGACGAGGGCCGAGGTCTTCTGCAGCCCCACTCTTGCCAAGGTGAGTTACAAGCCGTGTGACTATGGGGCACTCGCGTCACTGTGGGGACTGGGCGGCCGGCGACTCAGGAGCCGCACTCAGGTGGGGATGCGGCTCCTTCAGGGGGTTATCTAAGTCAAGGCACCGGGGGCTCCTCGGCCATGGCCCTTGCACTGCAGAAGGGAAGCTGGTGCAGGTGGGCAGCCAGGCTGGAGCGCCCTGCCTCCAAAGTCCCTTCCAGCTCTGTAATTGGCTACAGCTCTGTTCCCGCCCACTCCCACCCACAGGCAGGTGATGAGCTGAACCTGTGCAGCTTCCCTCTCTCTCCAAGGGAGCCGGGGACACGTGCTTTCACGTGAACCTCACCTGCTGTGGGAGGGAATGGGCTGCAGGTGACCTGGCCCTGGGTGTTTCTCCGAGTCTTCTCCTCCCCGCACGCCCACCCTGCCCACCACGGGCAGTTCACTTGGGACTCACCGCAGCAGGTGGCATTACTTCTAGCAGACACTTCGGACAGCCGCATGCCTGACGTGGCCACAGCGTAGATCCGGCTCTCCTGGAACGGGAGGTCACAAGGGGTCAGGGTTCACCACCCCCGTGTCCACACCGGCCTCTGGCTTTGGAGGCGGGCAGACCTGGGTCCACATCCACGCTTAGCCAGTGACCGGCGGGGGGATCTGGGACAAGTTAACATCATTTCTGGACCTAAGATGGGGGTAATAATACTCACCTTTCAGGCTGTTGTGACAATCAAATGAAATTATTAACATAAACATCTAACACCGAGAGCATGGTCAGTGCCCTGCAGGTGATATTTATTCCCTCTCTTGCTGCCACCCCTCCCTTGGGGCAAGGAAGTTCAGGAGAAGAGGGAACTGGGATCTGTTTTCTCTGAATCTTCCCCATCTTACAGCCCTTGAAGTTGGGGGGCTGGTAACGAGGACGTCCGAGCCCCATGGCAAGGATGTGCGTGCCCTTTTGTTTGGAAGCCAGTTGTTTGGAAACTGGGACACATTTTTTTCCTACAGTAACAATATCACATCATGGTTAGGCTTCAGGCTCCAAGTCCTGGCTCACCCAGACCCCTGAAGCCCGCAGTAGAAGACACATCAATGCGAACTCCCACCCTCAACTCCTCCCTCGCCCCTCGGGGTCCCCTGGGGCTGAAGCAGGCCCACAGGCCTGGGCAGCTCCTCTTAGGTTGGGATCACTCCCAAACAACCTAGAGGCCCCACCTATCCTCCTCCATATCTCTTTTTCACCCAAGGTAAAGGGAAAACAAAGGCCTCTTCAGGTGAGAGGTGAGTCACAAGGACGGGGGAGGAGGTAGCTGGGCTAGGCTGGGGCAGGAAGGAAGGTGGATGCTATCCGGGTCACCCCAGAGGGGAGCAGCAGTGCTGGGGCACCTGGGGGAGAGAGGGAGGGGCTGGCGAGGGCTGGGATGAGAGCCGGAGGTGACTGGCGGCAAGGGAAGGGAAGAGATGGGAGGCAGCAAGGAGGAATTTGGGGGAGGGGCAGGCACTGGGCTGGGGTAGGGAATTCCGTGCTTATGTAGGGCAGATAAATTGGGTCCATGTGGTAAAATTAGCCATAAAAACGATTATTCCTGCCAGTAGTGGTAGTGGAATTCAACCACGGACAGGCCTCTAACTTCACAGAGAGAATGAAAAGTGTGAGGCTTGAGGGGTTTAGGTTCAACAAATGTAGGAGTGTTTTACAAAAGGTTATCTAATGTCTAACTCACACGGTTGTTTTGAGGATCAACAAAGGAACTCTAACTCAGCAAGTAAGTCCATCTGACTCCCTCAGACTGAGAAATGTCCTTCTCCCAATTCTCAGTCTTGATCTTCCCCACATAGCTACTGCCCAGCTGGTCCCACCTAAGAAGAGAGGTTGGGTTCTCGGGCCTGTGGTTCCCTAAGGTAACAAGAGCGATCCTGTCTCGGGGACCGGAAGGACCTGAGCCCTCTTGCCACATCCCTTGCCGAATGCTCCCTCACTGCCTGCCTCTGCTTTAGGATTTCAGCGCACCTGGATTTACAAGACAACAAGGAACAAGAGGAGGGATGATTCTGAAAGTGTTCCACCCTGGCCTGGCCCTCGTCGTTTCCAACAGCCTCTCCACGTATTGTGAACCACTGCTGCAACTACTCACCAAATACCTATTAACACACTTAATCCTCAGGGCAACCCTCTAAAGCAGGTACTATTATCCCCATTTTACAGAGAGAGAAATTGAGGCACAGAGGTTTAGCAGCTTGCCCTGGCTCACACAGTTTGATCTTGGGACCTCCTGGTTTGACCCTGGGACCCGTGCTCTTAGCCACCACACTGTACCTCCACGGAGAGTCAGGAAGACTACACGAGAAAATGGGCACCGAGCACCCAGCTTGGCTGTGGCCCGCGGTGAGCGCCTGCTCAGGAAACAGCCGGCCGCCGTCTAATCAGAAATCCTGGCTCCACCCCTTATGGGCGGAGTAGTCTGGACAGGCCCCGGGGTACCCACCGCCCAGAGGGGGTGAGGGTGACAGCCTCGTCCCACGCTCAGCACATGGCTGTGACCCACAGCGTTCGCACCATCAGCCTGGCCCCTCTGTCCTGTCCCCAGGGGGCCTCTTACCCAGGATGGAAACCGGTGCAGGGGGGGTGTAGGTGGTTTGTTCCCCAAATCCACTTCCTCCATCTTCCCCGCTGGGGATTGCTCGTCCATCTCCATCTTCTCTGGTTCCTCCCGGAGCTCAGGTCCAGCCTCCACCTTGGGAAGGCTGGAGGAGTGGAGGGCTGAGAGTGTCCCAATCTCAATGCTCACCACGTGGTCGAAGTGCGCAGGGCCCGCCTGGGGCTGGCTGTGGTGCCGCTTGGCCAGCTGGATGCTGTCCCGGTGGGTGCTGGGAGCCCGCACCTTCGGCAGAGTCAGGCTGCAGCCGGGGCCGCCTTCCCTGGCAGAGGTCTTCGTCCTGGGGAGCGTCCCTCCCTGAGCACTGACCAGGCCTTCACCCCAGGAAGCCAAACCATGCCTGGGGGTGCAAGGCTTCAGGCACAGGTGGCCAGGAGAGCCCTGTCCTCCCAGATGAAGTGGAAGGGTCTCGGCCTCTGATATTTCTCCAGGGTGGACCATACTGGAACTAGAATCCTCCAAGGGGCTTCCTGCTTTAGGAACAGAGTCCTTGCTCTGCAGAGCACCTGGAGAAGGTACGGGCATAGCTGCCTTCAGGGCACCCTGGGCCTGAGCACCACCGTCCTGCCCCACTGGCTGGGCTCCTGGTCCTGCAGGGACAGAATCCTGCTCTGTGGTTCCCTGGGGAGCCACCAGCAGCTTCCCCGAAGGTGCCATCTGAAGAGCTGTGGTTGGGACAAAAATAGGCATGTTAAGAGCTCCCTCAATTCAGCCCCATGCACGTGCGCGCGCACACACACACACACACACACCACTCCCCCGACTCCCGCACATGCTGGCCCGCTCACCTTCTAGTGCACGTTGAAGGGCTCCCACCTGCTCCACCAGGTGCTGATTACTGCTTTTCAGGTGCTGATTCTCCATCTCAAGCTAGACAAAAAGAAAAATGAAGATTGAGAATAAATACTCAGCCTACACATTCAGACATATAATTCAAAATAAGATCAAAATCCTTCTTAAAGACCAAATCTACACAAAAGAACCCGTGGTGCCCCCCAGTCCACTGCCGACTCTCCTGGGAGCCCTGACCTCCTCCTTCTCTCTGCGCTACCTGGTTGTAGATGGGAAAGAATTCCATTTGGCGGCCCCTGTGCTTTCTTTTCTAGGTTTTTGGGGTTTTATTTTAATAAATTTTATTTATTTATTTTTGGCTATATTGGGTCTTTGTTGCTGCGCACGGGCTTTCTCTAGTTGTGGCGAGCAGGGGCTACTCTTTGTTGCGGTGCATGGGCTTCTCATTGCAGTGGCTTCTCTTGTTGTGGAGCATGGGCTCTAGACACGCAGGCTTCAGTAGTTGTGGCATGTGGGCTCAGTAGTTGTGGCTCGCGGGCTCTAGAGTGCAGCCTCAGTAGTTGTGGTGCACGGGCTTAGTTGCTCCGCGGCACGTGCGATCTTCCCGGATCAGGGCTCGAACCCGTGTCCCCTGCATTGGGAGGTGGGTTCTTAACCACTGTGCCACCAGGGAAGTCCTTCTTTTCTAGGTATCTTTAACCTTTTAAAAAAATGGTGAAATACAACACACAAAAAACTGCATTCTACACCAATGAACAGCTTAACAAATGATTCTGAAATGATTACTCATATGACCGCCACCCAGGTTAAGAAAGAGGAATTTGCCAACACTCCAGACATCCCGGACTTGTCCTTCCCCAATCACATGATCCTCCCTCCCCACTAAGGTGACAACTCTTCTGAGTCTATGAGATTCATTTCCTTGCTTTCTGTGTTTTACCATCTAAGTATGCACCCTACACACATTAGTGTAGTTGTGCCCATTAGGACTTTATATAAATGGAATTATTCAAGATGTACTTCTGTATCTGGCTTCTTCTGCTCAACATCCTATCCATGAGATCCAGCCTCAGGGTGGCTGCATTTTCTTTGAAATGAAAGCCAACACACTTCTTTTTGTTGTTGTTTATAACACAAAAATTTTATTTCCTTGCTTATATTTTATATCATATGTATTCTACTCAGTTTCACACGCTTTATTTATACTGGATCCAGGATGAAGGAGAAAACCCTATCTCCTGGAAAAAGGAAAAGGACAATAATAAATTCATGTGATTGTTCTTTTCTTTTTTTTTAAACTTCTTTTTCCTTCTTTGGCTGCATTGGGTCTTCGTTGCTGTGCACAGGCTTTCTCTAGTTGCAGTGAGCGAGAGCTACTCTTCGTTGCGGTGCGTAGGCTTCTCATTGTGGTGGCTTCTCTCGTTGTGGAGCACAGGCTCTAGGCGCACAGGCTCAGTAGTTGTGGCACACGGGTTTAGTTGCTCCGCGGCATGTGGGATCTTCCCGGACTAGGGCTCAAACCCGTGTCCCCTGCATTGGCAGGTGGATTCTTAACTACGGTGCCACCAGGGAAGTCCCCGTGTGATTGTTCTTGAAGTTTCTAACTGAATATAGCTTACATATATGTCTAGAGCAAGTCATATAAACAAGCATGATGTCCATGATCTGCAGAAGCATATTCCTTCCTCAGGGAGGCATAGCATATCTTATGGCAAGGGGCAGGGATATATTACCCTTCTACTGGAAAGGAGTCGGGAACAATATACAACCTATAAAAATTACTTTTATCACAGTAGCAACTTGCTTGTATTTTTTTTTGTCTCAGTTTACTAATTGGTAAATTGAAGATGGCAGTAATCATTCCACAAAGTTGTCATTGAGAGTAAATCAGTATCTATGTTTAAAATGCCTGCCTTAGAACTCGATGCATTGCAAGCGTTTAACAAATATTGGTTAATTACATTCTTCTTTTCCAATTACTCTAATGATTTTTATCCTAAGCTCTAGGACCCAGATTTTTCATTGTTTGACGTTTTATTCTCACCATATCATTTCACTATGTCATAATCCACAGGCCCTTAATTCCTCGTTATCTTCCCTGACAAAACATACTTTTTTTTCTTGTTTCAACCTGATAAAAGTAACTTTGGCCTCTTATTCACCTAGGAGCAAAAAATAACTGTTCTTAAAAAAAAATAAAAATAAAAAATAAATTAAATAAAATAAAAAAGGGCTTTCCTGGTGGCGCAGTGGTTGAGAGTCCGCCTGCCGATGCAGGGGACATGGGTTCGTGCCCCGGTCCAGGAAGATCCCACATGCCGCGAAGCGGCTGGGTCTGTGAGCCATGGCCGCTGAGCCTGCGCATCCGGAGCTTGTGCTCCGCAACGGGAGAGGCCACAACAGTGAGAGGCCCGCGTACCGCAAAACAAACAAACAAACAAAAACAAACAAACAAAAAAAACCTGTTCTTCCATTGTCTCCAGCCGATATGCCAGGTCCTGTCAATAGGCTGTCTAGTGCCCATTCTCATTGGAAAGCCAACACACTTTCATTGAGCTCTCAGCAAGAGATCAGGGCTGTGGAAGATGCAGGTTATAGGCATCAGCTCTGTCCCCAAGGGCTTGTAGTCTAGCAGGTGACCTGAGATGTGTGTCCACAGAAAGGACAGGAGGCAAAATGAGCCGCTACCCCCTGCAGGTGTGAGCCACTTGTGTCAGGAGTGAGTGTTCACCCTTCTCCAAACTTCAATTCCCCTTCCTTCTGTTTAGAAAGAGGTTGTTTTTTGGTTTTTTGCTAGCAGCGCTGTAGCTTCTAGTCCCGAGTTTCCTAAATAAAGCTGCAGCAAGTGATGAGCTATGAAAACGGATGGACAGAGGTGGAAAGTAGAATAGAGGTTACCAGGGACTGGGGGGAGAGACAATGGGGAGTTAGTGTTCAATGGGGATGGAGTTTGTTTGGGGTGGGAAAAGTTTTGGAGGTAGTGGTGATGGGTACACAACACTGTGAATGTACTTAATGCCACTGCATTGTACACTTCAAAAACAGCTCAAATGGTATATTTTATGTATATTTGAGCACCAAAAAAAAAAAAAAGTTAAAAAGAATGGAGAGGACAGAGGGTGGATGGTAAGGACTGTGTGTGCTTCTCAGAAGGAAACTGATGGGACTCCTCAGAAGTGAGACTCATTCCTTCTCCCCAGACACAAAGCAAACCAGGAGCTCTAGGGAAACCCAGCTCTGACAACAGGAAGGGAAAAGTGAAGTGAAGTGTCTCAGTGTTTAAGCTGAATGAGAGACAAGCGGTTAACAAAATGAAAAGCAGGCAAGGCCCCAGAAACAGATAGAGGCAGAAAAACGCAGAGGGACAGGCGCAACCCCACGCAGGTCCTCGCAGGCTTCCCAAGATAAGCTCTCACTCACCTCTGCTAACTTCAGGGTCACCCATTCCTTGATCTTTGCAGCTTTTTCTTGAACGATTTTTGCTTCCTCAGTTCTCATCTTCTTCTGCAAGAGAGAGAGGGCCTTTAGTTCGTCACGGTGGTCACCGTTTTAGTGAATAATTGGAGGTGGGAGGCCCTGAGAAGAAATATTAAGGGACTGGATGGAGGTTGGCCGATAGGAAAAAATACATTCATTTATGAATTCTTAGAAAATATTCTTAAAGTGGGAAAGGCCTTCCTAAGCATAATACAAATCCCAAATAGCCATGAAAGAAAAGACTAATAAATCTATATCATCTCTATAAATTACTATATGACCAAAAAAAAAAAAAGATGCCCTTAAACAAAATGAAAAGACCAATTGGGAGATGATTTGCAACACAAATGACTTACATACAAAAGGGATAATTTGACGTGAACAAACCAATAAATATATGCAAAAGATATAAATAGGAAATCAGCAACAAATAAAGGGAAATAAACCCATGAAAAGCTGTGCAATCTTTATTATTATTTTTAAAATGCAAATAAAAGTGACACATCATTTTCCTCTACCAGACTAACACAATTTAAAAGTTTGATATAACCCTAAATTGTCAAGGGTGTTGGAAAACAGCCCACCTCATACAAATTGGCAAAGACTTTTTGGGGAAAAACTTGATAATATTTGTCAACATTTTAAATGTCCATACCACTGATCTAACAAACCCACTGCTTAGGAATCGTTAATTGCATTATTATTTGATAAAGCGACAAAAACAAAAAAACTCAAAACTGGAAATAACCTAAGAGTCCACAAATAAGGGCTTGGCTAAATAAACAAAATGAAAATGGAACACTGCTCTGATACACAGGAAATGGCCACAATGAACGGCGGTTAGTGGTGAGGAATGAAAATGAAGGATGGGGACGGAGGAAAAATGTCATTTTATACCCTTTTGGTCGTTTTGTATTTTTTACTATAAGCATGTATTACCTTTACAGTTAAAAAATAAAAAATAAAGGTAAATTAGCACATGAGTACAACTCCCTCAAAACAATCAACAGTATACAGTGATCCCTCGGTATCTACAGGGGTATTGGTTTCAGGACGCCCAGCAGATACCAAGATCTGCAGATGCTCAAGTTCATTATATTGATGTAACAGGGTGAAGCACAGTCGGCCCTCCCTATTGGTGGGTTCGGCATCTGCAGATTCCACCAACCACGGACCTGATTCTGCGTATATGGAGGGCTGACTGTCCTATGCCCTTTTATATAATGGACCTGAGCATCCACGGATCTTGGTGTCTGTGGGGTGTCCTGGAACCAATCCCCTGTGGATACCGAGCGACCGCTGTAAAATGACTCAAAAGCGAGGTTTGTATCTAAAGAATAGCAGCCTAGGAGAAAACAAAATACAGGCTTTGGGGATTTGGCTCTGCCTCTGAGGCTTATTTGCTGTGGGGCACTGGGAAGGCCACATCAGCCTCTGGTGATGGCATCTCTAAAATGGGCGAAGATACATGTCCCCTCTGGACCATCTTGAGGATGAAGGGACAGAAAGTGCACCGCACAGTGCCTGAGGCACAGGTAATCAACAAGTTCTAGAACGAGTACTAGTTCCCTGCTCTAAAAGGCATGGAGGGACTTTGCTGGTGGCAGAGTGGTTAAGAATCCGCCTGCCAATGCAGGGGACATGGGTTCCAGACCTGGTCCAGGAAGATTCCCACATGCCGTGGAGCAACTATGCCCGTGCACCGCAACTACTGAGCCTGTGCTCTAGAGCCTGCAAGCCACAACTATTGAGGCCGCATGCCACAACTACTGAAGCCTGTGCGCCTAGCGCCCGTGCTCCGCAACAGGAGAGGCCACCACAATGAGAAGCCTGTGCACCGCAACAAAGAGTAGCCCCCGCTCGCTGCAACTAGAGAAAGCCCGCCCGCAGCAACAAAGACCCAAGGCAGCCATAAATAAATAAATAAATTTGTTCAAAAATAAATAAGTAAAAAGCATGGAGACAACTGGTGTACTCTCAGTTGTTTAGAGACCAGCAGTAACGACTTTGGTTACACTTCTAGGGAAAAACTGCCTCGAAGTTGTAAGATGATGGACATGAGCTCCCAACAAGGGAGTCTGTGGAAATGAGATGGGCATATGGAAATGTCTGACTCAGTATTTGAGAGCTGGCGAACCGGTAAGGTTATCTAGGGGTTTGCAGACAGGCCACAGGCCAAATCCCGCCTTCCACCTGGTCCCTCCCTGAACAGCCCTGCCCATTCATTTCTGTATTGTCTAAGGCCACTTCCAGGCTACAGCAGCAGAGTTGGCTAGCTGCAACAGAGACCACGTGGCCTGCAAAGCCAAAAATATTTACTACCTGGACCTTCGCAAAAACAGTCTGCTGACCCCTGACCTAGTTTGATACCCTGATATTTATGTGGCTGTGGAAACTGAAGCCCAGAGGGTGAAATGACTTGCCTCTGTCAGTTTGTGCCACGGCTGGGGCTAAAACCAGGTCTACTGACTTGCAAAACAGCATTCTCTCTCTTCTGATCTGGACCTATTATTATTGTAAAATGATTTTTTTTCCTGACCTAAGTAAGCTTTAGCAGGAATCATTTTGCCCACCAATTCCCAGGTGCTGCCACTTCTAACTATGAACCACTCAACAGAGAAGATAGGTATCTAATATCAATGGGAGGGCTTCCCTGGTGGCGCAGTGGTTAAGAATCCGCCTGCCAATGCAGGCGACACGGGTTTGAGCCCTGGTCCAGGAAGATCCCACGTGCCACGGAGCAACTAAGCCCGTGCACCACAACGGCTGAGGCTGTGCTCTAGAGCCTGCGAGCCACAACTACTGAGCCTGCACGCCTAGAGCCCTTGCTCTGCAACAAGAGAAGCCACCGCAATGAGAAGCCCGCGCACCACAACAAAGGGTAGCCCCCACTCGCTGCAACTAGAGGAAGCCCACGTGCAGCAACGAAGACCCAATGCAGCCAAAAATAAAAATAAATTAATTAAAAATAAAATAAAATCAATAGGAAATTGATGAGAGATTCCATGTGTCAACATTCTATTGATATTTTCCCATGATTTTTCAGGAACACATGGTGCCCCACACATTGTGGGAGGTACGTCCCACAAAGGAAATGTTCGGTGACTGTTGATGAATGATTACGAATGTGCCTATGATAGTGGGAAGGCACCAGCAGGATTAGCTGGGACCTCCATGGAGAGTACACATGTGGAAAGTTGCAAGTTGGCCATGTTGTGAGGTTTTCTGTTGGAAACAATGGAGCTCTGGCACCAGGGAAAAGCTGGGTAGGTAAGACCAATGGCAGAGGGAAGGGACAGAATTAGGATGAAGTTAATGGGATTGTGAAGGGGAAGCTGGGCCTAGGGGACTGGCAGGGGGGTGTTCCAGATGTCCTCTCCAGAACAAAGATGCTGACTGTGGCTGGAATACTGGGCAGTGGCCTCTCCTGGGCTCCTATGCGCTTTTCAGAGGAGGTGGCAACTTTGGTCTCTGTCTGTTCAGGTTCATTGAGAAACTTTGGCTGGGCAGTTGGCCAAGGCTGATGGTCCAGCTCTGTGCTGCTCTGCTACTACGTGTCCCACAGGTCGGCAGGGCACAAGACCAGGGTGGAAAAGGAAAAGCTCTCCTTACCAAACACCGACCTCAGGTCTGATGCTGTACCCAGGTTCCCTGAGTTCATTCTGCCGACAGCCCTATGACGTAGTACAACCCCCATTTTACAGATGCGTAAAACGAGAATCAGCGACTTAAGTAATTTGCTCACTGGTGCTAAAGGGGGGTTCAACCCAGATGAGTCAGCCTCCAAGGTCCCTTTCCCACCATATCCCCATGCCTGGCTCTTCACGCACCTTCCAATACATCTCCACGAGAAAGAACAGTCTCGTGAGGGAGAGAGTCCCCACCACCGGCGGCCCAAGCAGAGGGGCTCTGCTCAAGCAGCCGTGGGCAGCTGGTGCAGGCGCTGCAGGGGGGCACTGGCACTTACCTGCTTCTCCAACTGTGCCTCCAGCCGGCCGATGAGTTCGTCTTTGCCCTGCATGGCGTTCAGCAATTCTTGGTACTTCCGGTGCAGGCTGCCTGCTGAGTCCACATTCTTCAGATTGGACAATTTCACCTTCTCTTCCATCACACCCACCTGAAAAGTACCAATTGTCTCACAGGGTTGGGGTACGGTGTGTGAAATGGCCTCCAGCCTGGGATGGGATGGGATGGGATGGGATGGGATGGGATGGGATGGGATGCTTCCTGATGCCCCTATCTGTGACTCTCAGGCAGAGCCCATACCCAGGGCAGTTGGGGCCAATTAATTCAATGATCACTTATTAAGCCTCATCTGGGCAAAAGAAGGAATTGACAAGGAAGGAAAAGCAGGGTGTAGGGCCATCTAACTCTGGGGGCCCCAGTAGGGACAAGCTGGGCAGGTCAAACAGCCCTGGAGAGGAGATGCTCCAGCTTCACTGTGGCAGAGACATATGCTGCCCACTGAATGTCCGTGAACTTCCCAATACTTTCCAGCCCTCTTGGAGTTAGATGGCCATGGAATTCACTGCAGCCAATGGGCCTGAGTGGAATGACGCAGTCATTTCTGGGCTGAAGTATTTAAGAGCTGGCGCACAAGGACCCAGCTCTCTTTCCCTGCCACGGCAACCAAGGAGGCTGCATGTTCTAGCTGGTTCCGCTGGAAGATGGGCAGCTCCATTACCTTGGACCCCTGAATCACCGTGTGAAGCAGAATCCTTGGCTTACCCTCAATGGAGAGGTACCATGAGTGAGAACTAAATGTGATCAACTGCAGACACGTCAGACTTCATTGGTTACTCAGCATAACCTAGCCTATTTGGACGAAGCCACTCACCTGCTCACTGCACTGACCCTTACCCAAAGATTCCTTCATGCCCACAGAAAGCCCCAGGCACCTTCATTTGTTCAGAAGGTCTAACGCATGACTGCTGGTTTTCCTCGTCCCTGTAAGAGGCTTATCGGTGTGACGTGTCCATGTGTGACCATGGAAAGGGTCAGGAAAGGCCAATGGTCATTTCCGCTGCACACTCCTGCCATCCCCTCCCCGGTTACCTGGGTCTCCGCATCCTCTGCTCTCTGCTCTGCCTCCAGCAGCCTCTGCTCCAGCTCCTGCATCTGCTCAACCAGAGAGGAAGGGGAGATCTAGGTGCAGTGTCCCTACTGTGAACATGGCATCAAGGCAATGCATGTGAATTGTGCAGATGCTACACGCAGGCCAGGCTCAAACTGCCCATCTCGAGGGGCTCAAGGATGTCAGGGTAAAGATTGCCATGGCAGCCCTCGGCTCCCTTATCCTGAATTTCTTGGGCAGGTGAAGAGCCTAGAGCTGCTGTCCTCTCTGCTGAGTGAGGAAAAGCCTAGGTCTTTCTCCCTGTGTAGGGCACCCGGGGAGCCGGGGCAGTACCACCATCATTCTTCCTGAGGCATCCTCACCCTCACTGTTGTTTTCAGGCTCCTCTCCCAGACCTCCCTCTCCTCTCAGCACTGGGCTGCAGGCAGTGCCCTGCCACGTGCCTGGCATGGAACGTGCTCCCATGTGAGCCCCCATCATGTCGGATATTCCTTCCTCCTCCAGAATGGCTCCCTGGCTGGGGACAAATACTGCCTCCCCTTCTTTCAAGGATGCCTCTGACTGCAAATGGCATTCACAAGTATCACCTTATTTGACTTCTTTAATCTTAAGCACATTAAAAAAAAATTCTATCTAGCTACCAGCCTGGAATCGCATGCCAACTGGCCATGCCAACTGGCCACGCCAACTGGCCCAAGAAAAGGGACCAATGTTCTCATACACAGAGCCTCATCAGGGACCAGATCTAAGGTGAAGCCTAAGGAGCAGCTCACCAGCCCACGGCCCACACGGCATCTCTGCAGCTTCGTGAGCTCACAGCCCGTTGAGTGAAGTGTGAGCTGGATTTCAGCTCCTACCCTCCCCCTGGTCAGGGCTCAGAGTGCACTGCCAAAACCTTACACCATCACACAAAAGTCCTGCGGAAGCAGAGCAAAGTCATACATTCCACTCTCCTACCAAACGCCATGGGCCACAGCCTAGTCAGGCAACTGCTTCCTTCCCCGCCCTGCCTTGCCCCAGGGCAACAGGTATGCAGGAAAAATACACTAGAGGCATAACCTCCCAGCCTTGTCCTCCGTGAGGCTGTACGGGCCTTGCTTCCCAAGCTCCAGTCCAGCCCTTGCCCACCTTATCTCTGCAGATTTGGCCTTTTCTCTGGCTACTCAACCTCTCCCTTTGGCCTGGACCCTGGCTTGATATTTACCAGTGAACTGAGCAATTAATTTTTTCTCTTTCCCAACCTCTCATCTGCTCAGCTGAAATGCTGCTTTCCCTCCTTGATTAAAAGATGAAAGAGAAGGAGCCCTCCAGCCTGGTGCTGGACAGTGAAAGGAGGGTTACCTGGGAGCAGTTCATGTTTGAGAACCTGGGGAAACTCTGTTCTCAGGGCTGCCTTCCCTCATCCGTTTTTTTCCTCCTTGGGGTTGGGGAGAGACAGATGTTTTCAGTACACAGTCCCTCTGAAAGGACTGAGGATCCCAAATAAAACTTAAGATTTACAACCCATGTGACAAAAATGCCCCCTGGGCTCCCAATAGACAGGACCATCTTTGACAGGCATTCCTGTACTCAGGCTTTTTTGCGGTACACGGGCCTCTCACTGTTGTGGCCTCTCCCGTTGCGGAGCACAGGCTCCGGACGCGCAGGCTCAGCGGCCAAGGCTCACGGGCCCAGCCGTTCTGCGGCATGTGGGATCTTCCCAGACCGGGGCTCGAACCCGTGTCCCCTGCATTGGCAGGCGGACTCTCAACTACTGAGCCACCAGGGAAGCCCTATGATGGAACCTCTTGACTCAAGCCTGAGAGAGTGGGTTGGTTCTGGCCAGACTCAGGCATCAATTACAGCCAGATGGCCTTTCCAAGATCACACAGTCCTTGGCCCTTTGTAGCTATGGGGGAGGTAACAGCATAGAATAAACCAATATTATGGTTATAGGGGTGGCTTCCTAGAACACAAAAAAATTCTACTTGGTGGCGGGGTTGGGGGGAGTGGTTGACACATAACCCATGACCAGGTTAGTACTATATAACCCTTCCCCCTTGGGCACCAGACTCGACTCTCTCCCCCCGGAGCGAATCAGGTTCTCTCTCCCCAGGAATCTGAAATGTGGGATTAAGAGGCCAGAGATAGGGCTCCCCTGGTGGTGCAGTGGTTGAGAGTCCGCCTGCCGATGCAGGGGACACGGGTTCGTGTCCCGGTCCGGGAAGATCCCACATGCCGTGGAACGGCTGGGCCCGTGAGCCATGGCCGCTGAGCCTGCGCGTCCGGAGCCTGTGCTCCACAACGGGATAGGCCACAACAGTGAGAGGCCCGTGTACCGCAAAAGAAAAAAAAAAAAAAAAAAAGAGGCCAGAGATGAGAGCCAGGGGGCTGCACCAGAGAACGTGCACAAACTTTACCAAGTCCTGATTATTAGACAGGTTCTTCAGTTCTCTGACATGTCCCAGGCTCCTCCTAATAAATTCCCTGTTTGCTTAAGCTGGCCAGAGCTGGTGTCTCTGCCCTCATCAGAAACACCCCTAACTAATACAATTACTGGGAGCATTTAATTTTTAAGAATACAATGAAATACTGAATGGGAAGGCTTTGGATTCTTGACAAGTTTCCTAGATTAACCTTCATTAATTTACTTATTTTTAACTCTTTATTTTATATTGGGGTATAGCCGATTAACAATGTTGTGATAGTTTCAGGTGCACAGCAAAGCAACTCAGCCGTACATACACAGGTATCCATTCTCCCCCAAACTCCCCTCCCATCCAGGCTGCCACATAACATGGTGCAGAGTTCCTTGTGCTCTACAGTAGGTCCTTGTTAGAGATTAACCTTCATTTAGATCTGACATCTGCTCTGTAGCTCAGAACACATATGATTTCCATAGGAAACGATCATTCATATTCGTGACTTTACAGATGGAGAAACCAAGGTAGAGGGATGAATAGAATGTATTTGAGTCCTACCTCCCACTTGGGCATTTCCATTTGTGTCAAGAGTGGTCAATAACACTGGTCAGAGGCAGAAATCACTCTGTCACTGACAACATGGTGAGTATTTTATGCCCCCAAGATCTTAATATTAGACATATTTTAAGGTATGCTATCAGCGAAGCAGATGGAAAGGAAGGCGCCCCTCGGAGCCTAGGGTCTCCTCCCAGTCTTGGCCCAACAGACACCTGGTCCTCCTTGCTGCCGACCCTCCAGCCATTCTTATCTTCCGGGCAAGGACACTCGAGACTCAAAGCGTTCTGTATTCACCTTTATGCTAGAGTATTCTCTTTTCTCTAAAGTGAATTTCTGAACATTAAAACTATTTGGAACATCTGGAAGTTTTTTAAAAGAGAAGAGTACAGTGACCATCTATGTATCCATCACTGTGCTCCAACAATTACCAACATCCCGCCACCCTTGTTTGAAGAGAATCTCTTTAACATCATGTTTCCCTCTGTTTTTATGAAAACACATTTTCTTCATTGCCACTGGAACACTCCCAGGGGTGTCTATGCCGGAATATCATGTTTGGGGTTTTCAAACTCTTCTTTTAACCCCAGCATCAACACTTCTCATGACGGCAGATCATTCCTTATGCTCACTCAGAGGGCCACACCCGGACCTCTGAAAAGCTGAGCTACTCGCAGGCCCCCCTTATTTGGGTTCTGTTTCTCCTTTCAGAGGGTTCCCTGGGACCGTGTCCTCAGCTATCCTTTTAGCTTGTGGGTCTGGCTGACACACCAGCCAGGGCGGTGTCAGGTTTGGGCAGCTGACTTTTAGGCAGGATCTACTTTCACCAGCTGCAACTTAACCTGAGACTCGTAAGCCACCCTAGAACAGGCTGCAGCGACCTGATGAAATGCACTGGGCACCGACCTGGTATTTAATCCCCATGTCCACAGCTCCTTGTTACACGCGGTGACGCTGTGAAATACTGGCCCCAAAGGCAGCAGGCACCCTCTTGCGCACCCAGCACAGACCTGCGTGCTGAGTGGTGGTTGAGCCCAGAGCCACGCCAGGCTGGGTCTCAGCTATCCCTCTGCAAAGGGTTCAACATTCTTACCACTGCTTTGCACCGGCTGGAGAGAATGGTACAGGTAAGCCTAAGGCTCTGGAGCCCGACTGGCTCCACCCCAGTGTGGCTTTAGATAAATTCTTAACCTCTCTTTGCCTCAGTTTCCTCACCACCTCCTAGTATCCACCTCCTAGGACTGCTGTGAAGATCACAGGAGATGCCTCATGTCAAGCTCACGTGCACAACCTGGCACTTACTGAGCAGTTCGCAGCTATAAGCCACTTGTTGGATTTTCGTATACAAAGGTGGCACTTAGGATCAGGGTCAGCTTGCCGGGACAGTCCAGTGGTCACCTGTCATCCAGAATAATTAGTAATAGAGCCTTCTTTTCTCTCTCCAAAGCGTCCCGGTTTAGATGATAAATTACCCGGCCATCCTACTTATGATCCATCTACAGAAAGAATGGCTGTAAGTCAGAGGTTGCCAACTATTAGCCTACAGAGCATCACGTAAGACCTACAGTGCTGCGGGCATTGTGGCGACACAGATACAGCTAAACAAGGCCACTTGCTATGTGTCCAGCACTGGCTAAAGCACTTTAGGTGCATCAACTCATTTAATCTTCAACCCAATCCTAGAAGGCAGGTCCTATTATTATCCCTGTTGTACAGATAAGGAAACTGACGCAGAGGGGTTAGGTAACTTGCCTAACGTCACACAGCTAGGAGGCGGAGCCGGGATTCAAACTCAGGAGGACTGGCTCCGGAGTCTATTATACTCTTTGCCACCGTGCCCCTCACATCCAAATCTCACGTCCCGTAAAAACCCAGATTCCACATGCAATCCCCGATTTCCAGCTTCTCCTGAAAACTCAGGAGATCTGGACACACTAGGATTACCTTTTCTCATGGCAATACCTGGCTTCCTCCTCAAGCGGTAGCACACTGCCCCGAATCCTCACTCATGTAAGTTTAGTTACGTGCAGGCCTTTGAGACTGCAACCCACAGTTTTAGCCGTTAAATGGTTCTAACTCTGTTGTGA